AAAAAAAAAAAAAAAAAAAAGTTTGGGACAGATTCATGCTTGTTCTTTAAAAAAAAGTCTCAGTACATTTTTTTTTTGTTTGTTTTAGAAGTTGGTTTTGCAAAGACCATAAATGTTTCACAGAAGTTTGAATCTGTAGTTTGGAATAAACAGAACTTTGCATTTGCTGGAAAATCCTGCAAGAATTCTATTCTGAAAAGCAGGGCTTGAGCCTTTTGTTGCTAGCTACTTTGACATCTTAAACAGATTTAAGGCAGCTTTACACTTCCAGAAAACAGCTTTACACTGTTACAGCACTTCAGAGAAAGCAGCATTTTGACTTAATGGCATTCTGCAGTTAGAATCCTGTTCCAAAGTTAGGCTTCCATTAATCAAAATAATAATCTCTATGCTTGATAATTTCCCATCATTTGGATAAGCAGTCTGTCAGCCTGTTGACTACCAAGCTAAATCACACAGTTGATGTTCTTGTATCGCAGTAAGTGAACAACGGATGATATAATGAAGATATTTCACTTCCCTCAATCCACCATTATGTTTTGTAATATCAGGAACCCTCCATCTGTATTTTTATAGCGCATTTACCTTACATATGATATTAAGCAGTCTCTTTTTTCTACAGGATAGAAGATGCTTAGTCTATACCCTTTCCATTAGTACTCACTCTGAAGTTAACTGTACCTCACTATGAGGAGCTAAGAGCCAACCTGCATTGAGTACCTCAATACCCTTTCAATCCTTGGCCTAGTGTGCAGTAAGCCAAAATGAAAGCAGCCTTCTGTTTTTCAAGTTCTTGTACAGTGTGAGAATTTCTTCTACCTTTCCTCCACCCCACCTTAGACATTTTTAACCCTCATGGATACTTCCCCCCCCCACTGTACAAAAAGAGTTTGAAGCACCACAACAAGGTGACTTCCATTATTAACTACTCAAGTAACCTTGGAACTGTGCCTGTCCCTATGTTGGGGGATTCCCCATCCCTATAGAGGGAGTGGGAGACTTATTTCAGATGCACTGAATTAAGCCACAAAAGTCTGTTACAGTCATTTAGTGGAGGAAGTTTTATTTGGAAACATTGTATAACTGCAATACCCAGCACTGGGTGCACGACTTTGATGCCGGAGCATACATTATTACTACTGGAAACACAGGAGTGTTTCTGACATTTGCTGTAAAACACAAACAGAATTCTCACACTCCAATATCAGGACACTACAGCAATCTTTAGATTCAAATTACATCCAAGGAATTCTCTGCACTTACAATTGACCCCACAGTGTAATAATCTACCTATATATAAGATTAATATATATAGCATGGGAAATTGAAAATTCTTGCTCCATAAATGTATGAACATGTCAAGTCTTATAAATAAACATCCAGTGAAGAGAAAAATTACAAGTCTAGTTCATATTTATACATAAAGTACTCTAACGGCAAAATGGGTGGAAAATTGCATGTAGGCAACCCCAAGCCAGGCAGCAGGCTTGGGGAAGCCCATCCAATTTAATATTGAAGTACACACAGGACAGACGAGTCACTAACATACATTGCGCATTTACAAGAGATCAACTACCAAATTGAGACAACTGTACACATTGGAGAGACCATTTTCATTCTGGAGCTTGTCATTTTTTTTTTTTTAAGTGTGGTTTTGTTTCTGTTGCATCTCTTTACATCATACTACGGTGTTTACTTTGTGGAAAGGATAAGGGCAACAATGAGGCCATAGAGACCCAAGACTTCAGCGAAGATCAAGATCAGGATCATGCCCACAAACAACCTGGGCTGCTGTGCTGTCCCCCGTACACCTGCATCACCCACAATGCCAATGGCAAAGCCTGCAGCCAGACCACTGAGGCCCACACTCAAGCCAGCACCCAGCTGAAGGAAGCTCCTGTAGGTTAAAAAGAAAGACATTTCAATTTCAAGTGATAGATAACTAAACCTTTAGTACTGGGGAAGAGAGAGAGTGTGATAATGGTCTCCACTCTATGCAGAGCTAGCATTTGGATCATTAAGGCTTTCAAAGACAGCTTCTTGGAGAGACCAAATTTCTCATTATGGAAGTGACTATCAGTCAGATTAAAAAAAGTTGCTGAAGCAGATTGTTTGACCAAGTTGAATTTAGGCAATTTTGAAGTCTACTTTGTTTGCATTAGAGGTGATAGTTCTATGCTTGGAATGGAGGCTGATGTTAAAACAAAAAACCAACCCCCTGCAAAGGCAGGGATGGGGCATAGGAAAGAGCTGTGGGCAGCTCAAAGGGAGCAGCTCCTAGCCACTCCATGTACCCCTGGGGGAGGCATGGAGGGCCATGTGCCCCCTCCTCCCCCCGCCCCAGATGTGTGGGCAGAGTGAGGGCAGGCTGCCTGCTGCGGGCTTGGGCTTGGCCAGGGGCTGTGCTGGCGTCTTCTTGGTAGAAGCTGCCCCCCAATACAAGCCACCTGTGGCTCCATCCCACACCCTACCCTAGCTGGGCAGTGGCTGCCCCTGCCCCACTCTCTCACTGTGGGGGCCTCAATCTGAATCCCCCCCCCAAAAAATTTACCAGCCAGATACTACTCTCCAAGCTGCCAGGCTGTATTCCTTGCCTTATGTATGCTTTGGCTGCGTGCATGCAGTATTTGTCAGTGACATTATTGGCTACTCTGGCCAAAAAAGGCAGATTGCTAATAATGTTAATTTTCCTTTTCAGTGCTGATCTTACATGAACCTATATCAGTGCACCTCTAATTGTAGCCATGATGTATCATCTCATTCAGTCAGCCAATCATCAGTTTAATTTTGACAAATCTTAAGCTTGTTCCAGCTCCTCTCAGGAACTCAGAGCAGATTGGGTTTCATGCTGTACCAGGTGCAAGAAGGCTTCTAGGTGTAGCTAGAGGATTAGTTTACTAGCAAGATGACATGCTCCGAGACGAGTAGTCATTTCTTGAATTATTCACAAGCATCTCCTTGGTGACTACAGTACATAGAGAATTTAAAGTTTTGCTCATTTACTCAGAAGAGTTAACACCTAGAAGAAGATGACTGAAGAGACCTTCACCAACTCAGGAGTTTGGCAGCATGGAACAGGGACTGTTTGCTTCCCAACAGGCTAGAAAAAGTTTTCTAGGCTGCTTTTTCAGGGAGGTATTAACAACTGGAGCATTTAAGGACCATGCACAAAGGCTTGGTTTGCAGTATTATGTAGTGGTCTAACACCACTAGTTAGAAGTTCAATTAAAAAGACTCAAGTTTAAAATATGGCCGGGTGCTGCCCAATGCATTAACAAGGTCTGGACTCTGACCCCGATTATACAGGATTATAGACTTGTTCCATATTTAAACATCTCTTGGCATCATTGCCACAATACCCATAGGGCTTCTAACTGTACTTTAAAACACTATAGAGAAGACTAGTTTTGTTTTAGGTGGTGCCCAGTAGAGGTGTGCAAGATGGGCCCCATTTGATTCAGATCTGGATCACTGTCGTTGATTCAGTTTGGCCAAATCAGAATCTCACAATTCGCCAAATCAATTCAGACACAGACAATTTTAAAAGTTTTTTCTATATACCTTGAGGTAGCAGTTCAGCTCATGATTGCTGCAGTGCTGGGGCAGATGGACCGTCCCACAGCAGCACGGGGCGCTCTCCAGCATGCTTGGCAATAAACCCAGAAGTGGACTGTAAGGACCTTGAGGTCTGCCAGACAGCATGCTGGGCCCCCTCCCCCCGATCAGTGACTGGGGACAGGGGGACCCTGGGTGCCCCCCCAGACCCAGGAGGCACCAGCTGCTGAGGTGGGAGGGTGCAGGGGGGTCCTCCCACACATGCTCCCTGGTAGACCCAGAAGTGCTTCTGGTCTACTTCTGGGTCTGCTGCCAACCATGCTGGGGAGCCCCCCATCCCAATGCTCCTCTGGGATGCTTATCTACCCCAGCACCACAGCATTCAGAACCCCTGCTACTTTGAGGTATGTAGAAAAAAAAAGGCATTTAAGAAGATGTATCCAAGTCCAAATCGATTTGGAGAGATTAAAAGGTCCTCAGATTCAATTTTGGATACAGAGATTCAGTCACCGAACTGGTCCAAATCGAATTAGGGACCGAAGCTTTGTACAGCCCTAGTGCCCAGCCATCCAACAATTTCTCTGAAGAGCAACTGAAGTTGCTGTGGGGAAGCCACCCCCACTCCCCCCCTTTAAACAAACCAAAAACACATACAACTCAAGGCTGTAATTAATACACATAGCAGGAACTTACTTGTATAGTGTGATGGTAGATGAAAGAGCATTGGCAATAAGGACTGCCACTACCAGGCCATAGATGGCTATGATACCTGCCATGACAACAGGGATGATTGATTTCATGATCAGCTCAGGCCTCATGACAGACATGGCTGCAATACCCGTGCCACTCTTTGCTGTCCCATAAGCAGCTCCCAAGGCTAGGAGAGACAAGAAAGCCATGAGGTTAGAGGAATTTACATGTAGGATGCTCAGAGCATAGTTAAAAACCTATCACCATATCCCTGCATGGATTTGAAAGTCTTTTTGTGCTGCACTTCCTGAAACTGTAAAGACTTAACAGTTATGTGACAAATTCCATTTGAGTGTTGGTGGACAAGGCAGACGGATATGGTAGAAATGGTGGAGTGATTTGGCTAAGGTCCTTCTGCAACAACGGGACAGATCTGCAAGATGGTCTAGTCATCAGACAATGAAGGCAACCTCTTAACTGCCATAAGGCTACATTCCCTAACACTGCAGCACAAGTCAAAACTTGGGGGAAGTTCTCACCCAGATGTAGTACTGTCCTGTAGCTTAGCAGAAGCAGTCATGCCAATTCACTTTTGACTCAGTCTACAGAAGCTGGGCATAGCTGACATCTCTAGAAACTATGACATGCATTCAGTCACGCATGCATGCCAGGCTGGCTCTGTTCTGCACTATGTGGGTCCTGGACTTGCATCCAGGAACCATAAAGTGCAAGAGAACCAGCCTGGGCCAGCCTGCCCTGATAGCACATGGTTCCCAGCTGCAAAGCTGGGACAAAATGCAGCACGGCATGGAGGAGGGCTAGGCCATGCAGTCCCTGGCCTTGCAGTCAGAGTCACATTATGTCAGGCTGGGTTGTGCGACTGTCAGGGCTGACGGGGCTGTTCTGCTTCCCTAGTCTCCAGCCATGGCTGCTGCTGCCACAGCCACTCCTGCCCCTGTTGTGTTGCTCTGGGTAGCTGACAAGCTTCAGCAGGAGGCTTTTGCCCAGTGCATGGAACTCTGGCTCCAGCACCTGGCCACCTTCCATTCATTCTGCCCACCTAGGTCAATGAGCAGTCCCTGCAGGCAGAACAGGTGGAAAGCAGCTGGGAGCTGAAGCTTCCACTTGCCTGAAGCAGTGCAGCCTGGCAGCAGGAGCCACCGGCTCCAGCCAGCACATGAAGCTTCTGGTGGAGCTGTCCCAGTGTGGCTGCAGCCAGCTGGGTGCTGCTGTGCTCCCCTTGCCTCCAACAGCCACTCCTCCCACTCTGCCCCCTGCTGCACTGGTCTGCTTCAGCCTGGCCGCTTCCACTGGAGGCGAGGGGAACAGAGGAACATCCGGCTGGCTGTAGCTGCACTGGGAACAGCTCCACCAGAAGCTGGTGTGCTGGCTGGGGCAAGTACAGGTTCGGGTTGCCTGGGTGGGAGCAGGAGGGGCTCAGCCCAATGTGGACCACCACACGGGCAGCCATGGGCTGGATCTGGCCTGCCCCTGGGTCTAGAAGATTTTTCTATAGAATTTGCAAGCTGAATTGTATTAGTCAGCAGACTTACGTTAAGGTGGTATGCTGCAAGCCTGGACACTAAAGCAGTGAATCTAAACCACAAAGGCTGCACAATTATGTTTTAGGCACAGAATAGCCAGTATAGAAGCTAAATTAGCTTCTCTATATTAGAAATGCATT